TACCCGGCTTTCGTTTAATGGACTGTTTCTGCTTTTCAAACTGACATCGGCGCTAAATCGAACTTCGATTGTGTTTTGTATTGCGTTCTTTTTACTTTTGGTGCATAATAATGCCTAAACGTGGACAAACATTGAAAGTGGAGCCCGTGAGTTAATCATCAAGCTGCAAGATTACTTTGAGCGGGAGCGGCAAAATGGCGGACACCTGTTACCTGTCGAACAAGTACTAGAACGCGTTTCTCAGGCGCTTGGAGTTAGCAAACGAACGATAACAAATATTAATAAAGAAAAGTTCGGCTCAACTGGCACGGAAGATAATATTTTACGTACTCCGAAGAAGAAACGTAGAACTAAACCCGTGACAGATATTGACACCTTTGACGCCGATGCAATCAGAAATCATATATATGGTTACTATTCCAGAAATTAATATCTCAACAGGAAGAAGCTTTTGGCATCGTTAAGAGAAGCTGGACTGTTTAGCGGGGGTAAAACGGCTTTAACCAAAATCTTAAAAGATATTGGTTTTTCGTATAAAAAAACAGACAAGAGAAAATTTTTATTAGAACGATACGATATAATTTTAAAACGGATAAGTTTTTTGAGAGAAGCAAAAAATATTGATAACTGGGATAATGTCGTGTTCATTGACGAGACATGGCTAAACGCCACTCACACGGTTTCCCGTTCTTGGACGGATGATACACAAGCGTCGACGTCGAAAGTAATAATGGGTAAGGGGGCCCGTCTGATAATATGTCACACAGGTTCTGCAAAATACGGCTTTATGGAGAACGCGTTACTGGCATTTCAATCAAAAACCACAAATGACTACCACGAGGAAATGAATGCCACTACATTTAAAGAGTGGTTCCAGAACGTGCTTTTGCCCAGCCTACCAGAGCCTTCTGTAATATTCATGGATAATGCCTCCTATCACTCGGTTCAAATACAGAAACCACCTACCCAAGCTAATAGAAAAGAAGAAATGGTGGCTTGGTTACAAGCAAAAGGCAATTGACGCAAATATGCAGATGCTAAAACCAGAGCTAATTAAATTAGTTAAAGAAAATAAAGCGGCAAATGTGCGATACGAAATCGATGAACTGGCTCTGGAGTACGGTCATCGCGTTCTAAGAATTCCACCGTATCATTGCCAATATAACGTGATTGAGCTAATCTGGGCTCAAATAAAAGGTTACGCCGCCCGCCACAATACTTCCCCGCCATTCAGCACGAAAAAGATGATGACCCTATTAAAAGAAGCCTGTGGGGAAGTCACAAGAGATGACTGGGCAAAGGTTGTTGAGAAGACTAAAAACCTGATTGTGGAACATTTTAACCGAGATATCAATATTGATTCTGTTATTGATAATAATATACTTATACATGTAGGCGAAGATGATGATGAAGACACCACCTTCTCAAGTGAATCGGAGTCTGATTAATATTCTGTACGCACATTCAATTCAATGTACTTTATTGCATAGAAATACAGATTGTAACTTTGTAACAAAGAATAAATAAAACAATTTTATTATATTAATATTACCTTTTTTTGGTTTCCACTTAAATTACTAAAATATAAATTTTAAATGATTCCGCCAATTTAAAACGAAAATAATCTTAAAAATAACGCGGCGGTTCATTTTGGAGTAACGGTCGCGAACTAGTCGTGACTAACTGATAGGTGTCAGGAACGCATTATCTGAACGGCCGAACTATAGTTGTAACCATGAATGAAAAACTCATTACATGAAAAGTGGCTCAGGACCATGCTTTAGGGCAGTCTTTGGAGGAGGATGTTCAGTAGTGAACTTGTAAAGGGGTGTAATGATGATGATGATTCAAAACTTGCACGATTAAATTATAAGAAATCGATGTACGTCAATTAACTCTGGCCTCTCAATACATTTATGAAAATGTACTGTACGTACACAAAAATAAACGTACTTTTGCAAAAATAAGTGATATTCATTCTGTAAATACTAGGAACAGACAAAAGCTAGTAGTACCAGTTTCTCGACTCCACCGAGTCAGTAATTCATTCTTAGGGCGATGTATACGCTTTTACAACATCGTCGTCATCATCATTACAGCCCTTCACAAGTCCACTGCTGAACATAGGCCTCCCCCAAGTAATGCCACAAAGCACGGTCCTGAGCCACCTGCATCCATCGACTTTCTGCATATCTTACCAGGTCGTCACTCCATCTAGTGGGGGGTCGCCCTACACTACGCGTACCCATCGGTTATCGGTTCTTCGAGCTATATGGCTGGCCCATTGCCACTTCAGCTTACTAATCCGTTGGGCTATGTCGGTCACTCTGGTTTTACTGCGGATATCCTCATTTCTGAGTATCACGCAGAGAAATTCCGAGCATAGCCCTCTCCTAGCTCGCTGAGCGACCTTGAGTGTCCTCATAGGGCCAGCAGTGAAGGACCAAACGACGGAATCAAAGGCTTTCTCATAGTCCACACACGCCAGGCAAAGTGGCAGATTGTACTCTTCGGTCTTCTGTACAATCTGCCGCAGGGTATGTATGTGGTCTATGGTACTGAAGCCTTTTCGGAAACCGGCTTGTTCGGGACGCTGGAAGTCGTCGAGTCTGCGTGCGAGACGATTCGTAATGACTCTCGAAAACAGCACGTAGACGCGGCTCAGAAGGGAAATCGGTCTGTAGTTCTTCAAGAGAGCGTTGTAGCCTTTCTTAAAGAACAAGACCACCGCACTTCTGCTCCACGCCTCCGGAGTAATGCCACCATGGAGGACGAAGTTCTTACTTCAAGTACCGGTGTTCCACCCGCTTTCAGAAGCTCCACTGTAATTCCATCCTCGCCTGGGGCCCTGCCGTTTTTAAGGTGCTGGAGAGCCATTCTAATCTCGCTCAGACTGACGTCCGGGATATCATCGGAATAGTGTCGGGTAAGACTTGCTCTTGGATCGTTACTCACACTTGCGTGTGGCTCCAACGATGATGTGTACAGCTGCCCGTAGAATCTCTCAATCTCACTCAAAATCTCAGGTGTTCCGGAAACAATGCTGCCACACTCAGTCTTCAGATTTGACAGTTGGCTCTTTCTGGCAGACAGATCTCTGGCAAAGACTTTGGAGCCCTGGTTCCGCTCGATCGCATCTTAATACGAGCAGTATTAAAGTTGCGTAAGTCTCGCCGCACGCATTTGGAGATCTGTCTGCTCAGTTGCCTGTATGCTGTCAAATCTGTTGACGATTGCAGCCTCATCTCCCGTCTAACAGCCATGAGATTAAGAGTGTGATCGGAGAGTTTTTGTGTTCTTCTGCGGCGGGTTTGCAGAACTTAGCTCCGACTGCATGGACAGTTTCCACGAGCTTGTTATTCAAATCGTCCACTGCATTTCAATCTTCTAGGCACTGAAGGCGGTTACGTAACTCGAGCTGAAAAGTCTCGGGATTCTGGATTAGAGCACGAGGCGGACGGAGCGTTGACTTCATTAGACGAGACCTCTCCAACTTAACGTTTAGGTTCAGTGTAAACCTCTAACCATTCGGTGATCGCTGCCGGTTTTCACCCTTGCGATCACTGAGACATCACTGAACAGTTGGCGTCTGGTCGTCATAATGAAGTCAATCTCATTTTTTATCGAACCGTCGGGGCTCGACCAGGTCCACTTCCTGTGGGGCCGCTTCTGGAAGAAAGAGTTCATCATAAAGAGTCCCTCTTTCTCCATAAAGTCAGCCAGCTGCTGGCCCCTACGGTTCCGTTGCCCTACTCCAAATTTCCCTAACTTCAGCTCACCGCCTTCTCTTGTGCCTAGTTTAGCGTCTCGCCATCAACACCGTGTAGTGGATTTTGGAGGAATGCATGGCTCTCGAAATATCCTCATACATTTCCTCCACCTCCTCATCGGGATGTGCCGAGGTTGGTGCGTAGACCTGTATGACCTTCAGCGAATACCGTTTGGTAATTCTGAGTATCAGATACGTGACCCTCGTCGACACACTCTCAATCTTTACAACGTTGTTGACGAGAGACTTGTGGACGATAAATCCGACACCTCCTTGGGACAGATGGTCGCCCTCCCGGTGATAGGACAAGTTGCCGGACTCGAGGATTACCGTGTCCTCCCCCTCTCTTCGGACCTCAGATAATCCAATAATATGCCAGCGCAACTTGTCTACCTCTTCTTCCAGCTCCAGTATCTTCTCGTCAGTCCTCAGGGTGCGTGCGTTATACGTTGCCAGGTCGAGTCGTCGTAGGTGGCAACCGAACCTCCACCGGAGATTCTTAGCACCCCCTGCCTAGCCGTTAACATGGTCGCCACCGTAGCCAGGAATAGCGGGGCCGCCGGGGACTGGGGGCCGTTTATTTGCGTCGCTTCTTATGGAAGCCAGGGATATTTGCCATAGTTGCCACGCTTGGCGAGCGGGTTGGCAACTGTAGTTTTTTATTATGTTATTGTTGTTATTAGGAAGAAGCTGCTGCTCATCTCCTTTCTGTGTCCCTCTGTCGCCTCTTACGACACCCACGGGAAGATATGGGGTAGTGGATATTCTCAACCACCACTACGGGGCTCCTTTTACAACAAAATCCCAGAAAATATACGAAATTGTCATACGCAAAGTTCAAAAATCTTATTTAATTTTTTATTTAACTATGTTTGTATAAAAAGGGTTATTACAATATTAAGGAATTTATGGATGATAATAACCTCTGGGAAGGGTGATCGCTACCAAGCTATTTCTAATTTGTCTTGTGTTCTTAATTGTAAACATGATTGTAGGCTATTATTTAAAAAATATAGTCCCGCTGGGTTTCTTGGTTTCTCCGAACCAGTGGTAAAAGTAAAAATTAATAAAAAATCTATATTGAATAAAAATGATTCTATTCTATTAAGTAAATTGAAATAAAACATTAAACATATTAATTTATTTATTATTATTATTTACAAGTAAGTCTCCTATTTTATTAACAGCGTATAAAAAGTCAATATTAGTTACACTGGCGCTGCATAATTTGCTAGCTGATTTGTGTATAAGCCATTAGTAGTAAATCGGGAAAATTATTTGATAGAAACTTAACTGTTATCCAGTGCTCAGGCGTCTTGACGGATCCGTTGGGAAGCTGGTTGAGCTCGTCGGCAACTTCCCTCCAGCCCTTTTCAAAGTTTTCTTTGCCCTGCAGGCCTCTAAATTTTATTGTAAATAACTGTGGATTAGCTTCCAGCTTGGATAGTAGTATCTCAAGCTGCCCACTCGTAACACGTGATGTACGCTTACGTCTGAAACGTACATAGAAGTAAATATTCAAATTGTAAAAATTATAGTTGCTAAACAAACCATTCAATAAACAACGATAGATTCGAAATAGGTGTACGCATAGAATTATTTGATCAATTCAGATCGGTTATACTTTTCGGGTTGTACTTACTTAACGCAGCTCAAAACCGGGCCTGCGCCTGCGTCGCTGTCCCCTACTATAGAAAATATCATAAACATTATTTTTAATAAAATATATAATAAGTCACGATTTTTATAAAATATGTAACACAAACTAACTATAGTATGTGCCAAATGGATTGAGAAAAACGGACAATGACCTTTCGGTCGTTTAACCAGGGGTTACAAACCTTCAATATACATACACATTTTATATGTAGTAATTTCTTTATTTAAGTTTTATTATTTTTTTATAGTGATTGATATAATATATATTTATTAACTATGATTAAAAAGTTATGTAAAAGATCGCTATAGAAGAAAAATCCATCTTTCTATCTATTGTTATAAAAAAAGACTGGCCCAAGGTTGGATATCCCTAATACATATTTATAGTTTGTTTCTCGGATGAGTCGTCAATACAGATTATTCAGGATAAAACTGAGTTTGATCGGCGAAGAACGCATGAAAAATTCAATGAAGACTGCATTGTGGATTTCAGTAGTGATATGGTCCGTCATCAGCAGTAAAGGGACTGGAAGGCTGTTTATCGTACAAGGAACGATGCGTCAGTATCAGTATAAAAAATTGTATAAAAAATTCTGGAGGAAAAACTAATCCCACAGACAGCAGAATGGTTTCCTAATGCTAATTTTATATTCATGCACGACTCCTCCCCCTACCATAAAGCTAAATCTGTTACACAATACCTACAAAATAATCAGAATAACACCCTGGACTGGCCGGGAAACTCACCCGATGAATCCTATAGAAAACGGAGTCCTAACAACTGAAATTTCAAGGAATATAATTATAACCACCAAAAGAGAACTCATTGAGAACATCATCAGAGTCTGGCACTACACTCCAAAGCTCCAAGAAGTAGCCGTATCATGCATTGAGAGCATGCCACGCCGTGTTTAAGCCGTCATAAAAGTTAAAGGCGGAATAACAAAATACTGATAGAAATATATTTCTCTTTCACTACACTATTAAACCTCTATAAAGAAGTTTACATTTTATTCCTAAAACATTTAATAGTATTAAAAATATATTATAACTTTAGAAACCATATAACTATTGTATTTCATAGCTTAAGTTGACAAAATACAAAGAAATCACTTTGAGTATGATAATTTGGCCACCCACTGTATATTAGATATAACTATCCAAAAAAAAACATTGTTTTATTAGCACTCTGACCATATTGAAGTTAGTCAAAACAAGTTGTATTATTAGAAATTAATTATATAGATGCGATAATACCAGCAGTATCTCACAAAGATTCTGAATATAATGCTCAATAACTCAACTGGAAGTGAAAGTACACTTCTCGCGGGATAAAACTGCGAGCATGTAGGCACTTTGGCTAGACTAAAAAGGGGGGATGTTCATAGACACTTCGGCCATTGGTGCCCACATACAAAAGCATATGGAAATGATAATATGCAATTAAAATAATGAAATGCTTAAGGAATTGGTTTAAAAAAAGTCGAGATTTTTATGATATAAAAGTTTTTATTTTCACAAATACAGTTTTTTAACGACTACTTTTACCAATTTTATTGCTTTTAATTTCTTTAACTTTTATTTTCCGACATTTCAGATGCTTTATAGCACCCATGGTCACGGGGGACTGAGGTGACTGCCATCCCAATATCAGTATTGGGACATGGAGTACCTTCAGCTTTTTATTATTATTTTTATAGTCCAATCTACGCAGATTGAATTTACTCTATCTTTAATTCTTGCAGTGGTATGCTTGGGTTTAGTTTTAATTTTATTAAGCCCCAAGTGTCCCAAGCAGGTGGTAGTACCCAACCGCCTTCTCTATTGAAATTAGGATGTTTTTTTAATTTCAATAGCCTCACATATCAACCTTGGTAGGAATTAAGGTTCTTTCGCGAGGATTTGTGGTCTATCAAATCTGATGTATGTCTATCTTGTTGGGGTGACAACCTTGACATACGGTAGTACAGATGACACACGCTCAACTGCGGTCAGCTTCACTCGGTCACTGTGACGTAGACGTGGGACAAGAAGCTTGATTTTGTGCAGAACCTGCTTGACGTGCTGAAGCTCCGGGGTCAGGTGCTTGCTCTCACAGATCCCATATGCTCTCTGTAACAAAGATTTGCTCACGGTAACTAACTGTCAAGAATGATGGTGAGATTCACCGCTTAAATATAAGTTTGTATGGGTCTTTTTTCTATACACAGTGTGACCTATGATGTTGTTAGGATTTTTGATAACAAAAACATCTAGGAAAGCTAAGAAATTATTTGCCTCTAATATAATATCATAGTTACTGAATGGAATTTGGCACAGAGAGTGGTAACGATGGATAAAATTCATAGGAACAACATCCTGATTTAATATTTCGCGGGCCATATTCATGAGCCGCTCTAATTTGTTTCTTGGCACTTGCAATAATGCCTATATGCATTCATCACTATCTCCTGTTCCTATTTTCATCAAATATACAGCAAGTGCAAAACATGTTCAGACATTTTGGGAACTTCAGACAGAATTTATTGTTATTGTGCTTTTGATAAGCCTAGATAATAATGTACAGTATATTCAGGCATACTGTGAATATTTTCAAAGTCTATAATATGATGGTAAATATTATCTTACAATAATGTAGAGAAATCTATAATTTGTGCTACACTAAATGTTTTAATATGTTGTATATTGCTTCTAAAAGTAAATACCAAGAGTTACTATTTAAATGGTAGTTACTGATTCTACATTCAGGAGGTACATAGTAATTGTATTCACAAAAAGACATACCCGCAATGTTGATGGAACAGTGAGTTGATTGGAATAGTTACAACCAGGAAAAAACATTGATTTTGTGTGAGTGGTGCTCTTACAATTTAGGTAATATTTAATTTTAGTAAAATTTGGTCACAAATTAGGCAGCAATATATTGTACAATGTATGATCTAAGCTTTGTTGTTCTAGGTTCAATATATTACTTCACTTTAGATTGCAACGAGGACGGACTAGATGATTCAGATAGTTCCCGTTCTAAAGTTTAACGTGATGCTGCTTTATCAGTCCTTCGCCAGCAATAATGACACTCACGCGATGACGATGGCAAAAAATAAGACAAAGTGAACAAAATAAAATAGATTTGTTTACTTTAAACTCAAATATAGGTAAATGTTACTTAAAACTTAATGCCCTATATTTTTAATAATTAAGGACTGATTGCCTACCAGTAGTCCAAAAACAATTAAAAATCGACTTTCTCATTTCTTGGTATTTGATAAAAATTGTCCATTTTGTAACTATCTGGTGTTAGCTAGCTAATCTTATCGCCATGTTATAAATAAGCTATTATGTTTGTCAGATATAGCTTGTGCATATGTTAAAAAATAAAACAACTTCATCATTCTCACTATCAAATATCAGCACTAAAATTAATAAAAAACTGTTGAACACTTACTTTTAACTGTTGTCACACTATAATGTAATCGACAATCTCACTCCATATGAGTTCTTGAGAATTTATTTGAAAAATAACAAACAAAATAACACAATTGCGACTATTTAGTTGTGAATTTTCTAGTATCTTTTTACTCGTTGAATTGTGATTTCATTTTCATTGCCAATTCGCATGACATATCTCCTAGCTGTCAGATTTGATGTTGCCACATAACTAACATAAATACAGTGAAACGATATCGATTTTTATTCGATTAGTAATTTAATAAAAAAAATATTTGAGGCGCTTTAAGTTCTACACGCTTTTAAAAATATATTTTCTTTTATTTATTTAAATTCTTTTTTCAATGTATTTTTAAGAACAGTTAAAATGTGGAGTAGCGTATTGTCATGCTCTACACAGTTCATGGTCAATCAGCTAAAATTCACTTGTTTAATTATCATAACATGATTCCATTTTAAATGTATTGTTAAAACAGATAACAATAACAGTTAAATTGTGCAGTAGCATTTTGTTATACTCTAAAGAATTCATAGTAAATCAGCTAGTAATTCGCTTTTTTAATTATCATAACATTATAATATCGATTCGATTATTACGGAGAGAACTGGGGGCCTTCATCGGCACGGCACAGCACGCAAGTGACGCAAAAGCCCCAACGAGAGAACTGCGGCTTTCAGCGGCATGTAGCTCGAACGAAGCGAGAGCAAGTGACGCAGAAGCCCCAATCCTCACCTAATCCTATGACCTTACTTGAGGATGATATGATACTCTACGGTGTTTACATGCACAGATATAAATAATTATGAAAATAAAATTAATAATAACCCAAAGAATATAATTAGGTGGCGTAGGTCAAATAATTTAAAAATAAACTTCAAAAAGATTCAAATAACGAATTTTATCATTGAAAATGGCTACTGTTACAGCGTCTATTAAAGTCCACTACTGACCACAGGCCTCCGCCACAGATAAATTCATAGGATGGGTATTTTCCATAGTTTCCACGCTTGCCAAACAGGTAGGTAACCGCAGTTTTTATTTTTTAGTTGTTAAGAAGTCGCTGCTGCCCATCTCCTAATTTGTTTGCCTCTGTCACCTCTTACGATACCCATGGGATGTTATGGGAAAGTGAATATTCTTACGCCGCCACCACACGGTGGGCAGGCACTTCATTCTATTCGTGTTGAAATAAAACGTGCACAATCAGTGCACGTGTTGTTTATAGTGCGCGCAAGATAACTCTGCGCGTGACTGATGGCGTACTTAATGTTGCCACCTTAACTAATATTATTTCCTTCATTTAATCTTATCACTAGAATTATATAATTATTATTATTTTGATATATTTTTCAGTTAGAAAACCACGGCATGATAAAAACTGCCGTGGCCATTGCTAAGCAGGAGGGCGTGTTGAAGTTATGGAGCGGTCTGATGCCGATGTTCCAACAACATGCAATATATTCAGGCTGCAGGCTGATTTTCTACGAGCGGTTCCGGAACGCGTTCAAGGATGATAATGGAAAGGTCTCTTTGGGTATTGCATCATTGGGTGAGTAATGTAGTAATCATTTGTACATGAAAAACATCCCTTGACCCCGTCCCGCACTGTCTGTAAGCGCAGGACCTAAGGATGCAAGCAAGGCATACCTTTCCACGTTATGGACTTTTAGATAAGTTAATATCGATAATGTCAATCTCCACAAAATTGAAGTTAAAACTAGCATCATTTCACGTATTTGTGATTATTTTAAATTCAGTTGCTTTGAATTCATATATTATAAAATGTGATATTTTTTCCTATCCATTTAAGTACAAATTTTTTGCACCTGCTCTAAAATACAGCATTTAGACAGCTAAACATTTCAATCGTACCCTACGGGTTAAATGTATAATAATATAAAATTCTTTTCTGAAGCGAGTTATATATTTGAATATTACGCTCCTAGTCACAATTATATATATCAGACACTAAGTTTTACTTTCAAATTTTGTCTTTAAGTTTTATTTTGCAAAAAGACAACCGTTTTGTTTTGTTCACGAATGACGCCAGGCCTATATTATAGGCTAATGCGTATACGAGAATGGCCTAGGCTATCTTTCACTCAACATACGCGTACGCTACGCTCGTTCTCTTTTGAATTGCCAATGTATTGAAAAGTCAGATTTTAATATCAAATATGCAATTAATAAAAAAGAGACATTCAAAAAATTGGTCGACCCTACAGGCGATCCCTGGAATTTCCCGCTAATTTCAAATGCAAAGCGCTCCAAATTTCACCAAATTATGACGTTGAATATGAAATATCGAAGTAATTTAAAAAATCAATTTTTTCAAAATTTTTGTTAACAGTATCTCACGAACGAAGCAACATAATTTGACCAGACTGGCAGCGATCAACGTGGTTTTTCATGGTTAAAAGCTGATTAGTTTTTGGAATCGATCAGTAAAGCCGTTTAAAAGTCATTCCAAAAAAAATTTTTTTCAAAATTTTTATTTTTGAATTTCTCCAAATCTACTGGTCTGAATTAGTTAAAATTCATAGGAGATCTAACTTCACATACATACATACAGACACAGACACCATCGAAAATTGTCACTGTGGCTTCCTGTGACCTCAAAACGTTAAAATTTGATGAAGACTCAATTTTCGAAAAACGGAGTAAAAACAATAACATCGGGAAGATTATTGAAAATTTTTAATTTTCTTAGCAATAAGTTAATAAAATCGTTTGTTTTCTTTACAAAATGAAACTCCACACAAGAAAAGTTACATTTTTATTTTAACGTGAAACTGAACATGGACGATACAGTGACGGGACAATTACACTTACAATACAACACCGGACTCAGCGCTATCGCGAGTTGCAATAATTTATACAAAGACAAAAACTTTTCTTCGCTCAAGATTTATTACATAAATGAAAAATACCAAAAGCATAACAAGATTCCTGCAGGAAGAACCTTAAACTGAGGGACTGCACTCAGGCACACGGATAAAAAACAGTTATAAAACATGTAGTTGAAAATATAAGCCAGCCATTTCTATAATGACTGCCATTAGACGTATTTATTTAAGTTAACGTATTATAACTAGATTATCGCCACATATTATGCCTCGATATATATTACATGGTCCTACACAATATGGAACAGTGGGTGTAGTTATGCTTCCATGGAAGACTAGCACTATGACCATGATCACTAGGTGACCCAGTGATACAAAATAGTGGTGAAAGTACAGAGTATACGGAAGACGTTGAAATATTTAAAAAAAAATCTACAGCATTCAGAAGAGCGTCGCCTCCTCGGCGGACATTTTCGAACCTTTAAAAATTTCTCGTAGTTCTGCCATATTCAACATTAACAAAATGCGGCCGCGGTTTTGTAGGCGTCCGGTTCGGTAGCGACGCTCAGACTTTTTATTTTATTTACGAGGACAAACGAGCATGCGGCGTTTATTTATGTTGCCAACATGAATACACGTGCAGTTTTGTATTTAGTTGTAATATGTTGGAATATTGGCGGCAAATGCATTGTCATTATGCAGTCAATAACAATAACAATTACGCAATTCATTAAGCAAGCTATGTTGCAATTATCTGCGCAGTCATTGTAGACGCTGACAATGTTGATAGCAGTGAGACTGCTGCTGAAGCTGTCGTTAGTTATGAAGCGGTAATTCAAGGTGTTGGTAATAAGAGACGAGTATGACAGAGCCTCATTGGAGTTGGGTTTTTTAAATCATGATGCAATTTGTTGTGCGATGTATGTAAGCAGTAGAAGAAGGATTGTGTGTATGTTGGACGGGAGACAAGCTTGTAACTTGAGTTTAGAATCAGAGCTCATCGTCTCCTGGTTCCAAGTCGGCAGTCTCGATGGCGACCTCGTCGTAGTCCCGCTCGAGAGCCGCGAGGTCCTCGCGTGCCTCTGTAAACTCACCCTCCTCCATGCCCTCGCTAACGAACCTACAAAATATATGTTCAAAATTATCGCTTCGCAATGACTTCTATTTGGTCGGTATTGCTTTCTACTCAGGTCAGTGCAACTATAGAAAATATCCCCCTTATCAGACAATGTAAGCGGAGGCCTATGTTCAACAGTGGATTTTATATATTGTGTGAAGGATGATGGGCGAATCTTAGAGTTATCACTGTATAAAAGTATTGAAATATATCAAATCATATAATTTTAAAAAATTAGATCAACGTACTCAAGGCCAACAAAAGCAATAGATTTATTATATATATATATATATATATATATATATATTATTTAAGTAACAGTATTGCATTTAGACGAAATATTACCACTACTACCACATTTTTTTTTATTTCTTTGACATGCAGGTTTCCTAACGATATTTTCCTTCACCGCCGAGCACGTGGTAAATAGGAACTTAATATTGCAATTAACAATGTCATTGGTTCCGATAATGGAGGTGAATTAGAAACATTTGTTTGTTCATTCAGCAGTGAAACGTTACCATTATTATTTTTTAATCTCTAACTGTTCCAGCACACACAGTCCCAGCCCTTTATTATATTTATATATTTAAGACTTTAAAGGGGTGGTTGTTGACTAGTTTGCGTCCTGTCCAAGAGATGTTTATTAATTTTATTGAGCGGATATGGGCGACGTTATTCTTTCCAACCAAACTTAAATATAGATGTTTTTTAGAGTTTTCTTATCCGTCTGGTGCCACCCTATTCTTATGTATTTCTTCTGACTTTATGTGTTCCAGTCTAAAGGGTATATGTAGAGAGCCAGTATAATAATAGGCTATGAGGCATTCTTTAGTCCTCAGAGCATTAATTATAGAAGACTATGAGTGCCTTTCGTTTGAACCTGGTCGCAGGTGGTCTATAGGCTGCAGTAGTCACCATCAGTTAAGTTCTAGGTTAGCTTAATTTAAAATAATAAGAATCGGCGGGTATACACACCAGTGAACGAAGGCGCGCTTGGCGTACATGAGATCGAACTTGTGGTCAAGCTTGCCCCAGGCCTCGGCGATGGCGGTGGTGTTGCTGAGCATGGAAGCAGCACGCTTCACCTGCGCCAGGTCTCCGCCCACCACCACCGACGGCGGCTGGTAGTTGATGCCCACCTGCACCCAACAAAAAGTTACCATACCAATTAACTTGCTTTTCTTTGGAAAATCCTTTCGAACATCTGTCTCTGAAGGACATGATTCTAAAAAAATATATTGTTATAACATTAATATTTTTTTAATCACTTCTGGTAAGCTAAACATGCTTGTGTAGGCAATGGTTCAAGACGAAGTCCAATGGCGGATCCGAACCCACGTCGCTTGCGTCGCTGTCGCTTGAATTGGTGGTTGGTTTAACATAGTGTTAACACAAATGGGTCAACTCGACAGGAGGACCACGCTCTCACAGAATATTTAAAATAACAGCTTAACGTTGCTGTGTTTGATGTGTAGAGAACCGGAGACTCTTTTCACTGAAAACGAGGCATTCCATCTTAACCATCAGAGGTAACAACGCATCTGCATTTTAATTCTTAATTGAAGATGTAGTTATCTATTTTCACAAGCATCAACTGGAATGTGTGTTCGTATATCACCCTTATTATATATATAAGTTTACTTTCATATAGAAATAGTATGAAAATAACAATGGCGTCAAATTTTTAAGGTTATTTGAATATATTTGATTAGATTCAGAATCTAATTAGAATCATATTGGCAACATATTAAAGATTAACAACAAGTTAGGAGTACCTGAGTTAGGCCAAGATAATTTATTGGGTTTTCTGTTAAGCTCTCAGAAGCAGCCCGGAGTCAGGAATTTGGCGGTGTTTCAACACGTGCTTCTAAAACCAAATAAGGTTCTGACCTTATCTTTCTCCGGTAGTGTCGGATTACCGTTCGGACCACGAATTGAGAGAGTGAACCTGTGCTTGCTCAGACAAACATGCACTATTATCTTGGCCTGCGCGTACACCTAGTTTTCATTGAGATTTACCGCCGTGATCGAAATTAGGTCTAGAAGACATTATTACCTTTAGCCGGAAAGTATGTGTGCGTAGGTATATAAAAGAAGCGAGACACGTGTGTCAGGATCTTGGCAAGCGGAAGTCTAATCTCTGCCTTTCCTTCCCCCACCCCTCTGACAGGCGAGAGCTTCAAGCGTGCAAAGTGTGAAGGACCGCCAACCTTAAAACCGGTGGGACACCAGTCTACAAAGCGGATGCCAGCACGGCCTTTCATGCCGGCGATGGCCGCATTCACGTCCTTGGGCACGACGTCGCCGCGGTACAGCAGGCAGCACGCCATGTACTTGCCGTCGCGCGGGTCGCACTTCACCATCTGGTTCTGCGGCTCGAACAGTTCCGCCGTGATCTCCGACACAGACATGCCCTCGTGGTACGCCTGCGGGCACACCGCACACAAAACACACAGTGAAACAGTAAAAAAAAAAGTTTGTTAGTATCCAAATATGAATACAGAAGTCTGCCTCTTGAACTACGAGGTAATAACGAGGAACCTTATGAAATATTTATATTATGTATTAGGAGTAGTAATTAATGTGTGTACGTGTGAGCGAGCGAGCGAGCGTACGTGCGTGCGTGCGTGCATGCATGCGTGAGTGAGCGTGCGTGCGTGCCTTCGTTCGTGCCTGCGTGCGTATGTGTGCCTGTTATGTAAGTATATGCTACACCATGGAGGCATTTCATACATGACATTGTTACAAAACTGTATGCTATAACAAGTATTGTTAACTACTATTGAAACCTATCGGCCTGCTAGCCAGCCTAAATATCCCCAATATTTGCCATAGTTGCCATACTTAGCTAGCGAGTTGGCAACCGCAGTTTTCATTTTAAGTTGTTAATATTAGGAAGACGCTGCGGCCCATTTCATGATTTGTTAGCAAGCAAGCACATACTGCACACAGTAAAACTTGTAAAAAATTACCTCAAAATGGTGTCACTCCCCCCTCCACTGCGCAGGATGCGTCATAGTCCTCGCTCGAAGTAACGAATTATGTGATCTTTTAACTATCGAGTGGTGTAATAAAATTTTGGATGTAGATGATAGATATGTAGCAGAAACATCAAACTATCCCCCGAGAAACCAATTTTATTTATTTATTTATGTTTTAAAATAGTCTACATGCTGGCTTACAGTATGCCCAAAACGTCTGCATGCTAATTTACAAATCCCAGTTTACCTGATAAATAATAATGTAAGATACGTGTCAAAAAGGTTAAATAAATTAAATAATAATTGTCCAATAGATCAAATAAATTAAAAAATATAAGAATTAAACATACATGCCAAAAAGATTACAAATAGATTACATGTCAAATAGATTAAGTAAAATGTCATTATCAAATTGATTACCTATAGTCCACCAAATCTAAGAAAAACAGCTGACAGCTGTCATACTTATTGCACCAAGCATGCCAACCAAAAAATTGGAACGTACAATATTCGGTTCTTAAAAAAATCGATATCGATTATTTAGAGTTGGTAATCATTTAGTTTGGTTTGAATAATACTAGAATAAATTAAAAACGGATAATTTAAAACACAAGATTTATCAGTTTCTTCGTATTTGTTGTTACTGCTTATTTCTAGAGGCACAGTCATAAAAATTTAGGATTGAAACTAGATTAAAAATAAATTTATTCAATCACTTTCAGTAAAACTAGTAGATATGTCGTTGTTTACATTAATTATTTGATTTTCAATAATACAGACAAAATTAATGTCTCTTTCAAAGTCATCTATAATCAATTTTTTTCAACCACTTTCGCCTAATCATCCTTTGTGACATGGGCACATGCTTTAACAAATATATTTTTTATAGCATTGGGTGACAAACGAGCACACAGTCCACCTGATGGTAAGTGGATGCTATGGCCCATGGACATACGTATTTATTCTCAACTAAGAATCACAATGCAAATGCGTTGTCACCCCAGAGGATTAAGATGGAATGCCTCGATTCCAGTAAAAAGAGTCTCCGGTTCTCTACACTCACCATATGAAACACAGCAGCATTACGCTACTATTTTACGCTGGTATTCTGTGAGAGCGTTTTCCTGCCCCGGTTGAGCCGACACATTCGTGCTACAACTATAATATAGATGTAGCGTGGCTCTACCACGTACAAAACGTTATTATAGAAGAAACAGTCCAAAAAGTTAAAGCCGAGTCACAAAATAAGAAGACAAACAAAAAATCACAAAATTACGCACAGTAAGCTTTCGAAACAAACAGAAGTCACTTTTTTCATTTACCACTGGTTCGCAAAAATACCCCTCTGTTCTGGGAAGAACCAGAGAAAAACCAACGGGACTTGTTTAAAAAAAGAGCTTACAATCATGCGTGTTACAATTAACAACTCAAAACAAATATAAATATCTTGGTAGCGATCACTCTTCCCAGGAGTTATCATCCATAAATTCCTTAATATTAAAATAATAATAAATATTTAGGCTACAAAAGTCAATCCCGCAGTTGTACCATGGATTGTGGTCGACCGTTCAACGGTTTTTAATAGCATTCCCACCTGATATCCACAAACTTGTTAAAATCATCAAATTCATCCATCTCAATAGATAAGTTTTAAAACTAAAATTGATTACCGATCTATATTGTTTCTTTCAATTTGATTAAAATATATTCTTAATGTTATAAGTTTTTAAACTTTGTGTACTTGCGTCAAATTTTGTATATTTTCTCTGATTTTGTTGTAAAAACGTATACACCGCCCCAAGAATGAATTACTGACTCTGTGGAGTCGTGTAACTAGTACCGAAATGGCGGGATATTGAAATTATGTAGTGGGCATTTTAACGCGGTCTTGTATATGAGTTTTTTTTATCTACACAAATTTACTTTGACAAAGTAAAAAAAAAACTTGTTTTATTCATGATTCATGTTATTTAAGAAATTTTGAAAATAAAAATTAAATTGATTAAATAATACATTAAAAATTAATGATTCAATTATTTGGAAATTTTTACCGATTATTTAAATATTTTTCCGATCATTCGCGTAACAACCAATTTTAATCAACCAAACACTACGGTAATAATATACTAGTGCTACCAAGCCTGGGCTGACGCATCAGCGTCCAGGGATGTAAACACCAGCGCTATAAAAAAGAAGTATAATTCCGCCTCTAGGTCCTTCAAAAGAGTCATTGCCAAGGCAAAGTCAGAGCACATAGGCAGAATTGGCGAGAGACTAGTTCGTCTTCCTTCTGGAACCCGTGCATTCTGGTCTCTCGCCAAGGCTGTCCAGGGGAATTTCTGTCAGCCATCTCTTCCATCTCTGCACAGAGAGGACGACTCACTGGCCCACACCGCAAAGGAGAAAGCCGATCTTCTAGGCTCTTTCTTTGCGTCTAACTCGACTCTCGATGACGGGGGGAGTACGCCGCCGACCATCCCGCGGTGTGAGTGCTCCATGCCGGAAGTGCACTTCACTCAGCGCTCGGTTCGCAAAGCACTCCTCTCCCTGGACATCCATAAGTCGAGTGGGGCTGATGGAATCCCCCCAATTGTGCTGAGGACGTGTGCTCCAGAGTTGGCACCGGTTTTAACGCGTCTTTTCCGGTACTCCTACTCCCTAGGCGTAGTCCCAAAATCATGGAAGACGGCTTTCGTCCACCCGATCCCTAAAAAAGGCGACTGCTCAGACCCGTCCAACTACCGGCCTATCGCCATCACCTCCTTGTTCTCCAAAACAATGGAGTCCATTGTAAACTGCCAGCTCATGAGGTACCTTGAGGATCACCAGCTGATTAGTGACCGCCAATACGGTTTTCGCCGTGGTAGGTCAGCTGGTGATCTTCTGGTCTACCTAACTCACAGATGGGCGGAGGCAGTAGAGTCCAAGGGGGAGGCATTGGCCGTTAGTTTGGACATTGCGAAGGCCTTCGATCGGGTTTGGCACAAAGCGCTTCTTTCGAAGCTCCCTTCCTATGGGCTTCCCGAGAAATTGTGCGATTGGATCACCAGTTTTCTTGCAGATCGGAGCATCAAGGTCGTTGTAGACGGTGCAAGCTCCGATTGCAAGCTTATTAATGCTGGTGTTCCACAGGGCTGCGTGCTATCGCCAACGCTGTTTCTTCTGCATATCAATGATATGTTGCAAACCCGTAGCATTCATTGCTATGCAGATGACAGCACTGGTGATGCTCTTTACACCGGCCGAGCAAATATTTCTCGGGAAAACGTCTCTGAGTGCCGGGACAAACTTGTGTCTGAAGTCGAGTCTCTGCTGGACAGAGTCTCGGATTGGGGGCGACTAAATCTAGTCCAGTTTAACCCCCAGAAGACACAAGTTTGCGCGTTAACCGCTAAAAAGAACCCCTTTGTCGTATCCCCTCAGTTTCAAGGCACTCCCCTTGTTGCCTCAGCCAGTATCGGAATCCTCGGCGTCGACATATCGAGTGACGTGCAGTTTCGTGGTCACTTGGAAGGGAAGGCCAAATTGGCCTCTAAAAAGCTTGGCGTGCTCAGCAGAGCGGGACAGTATTTCATGCCGGCACACCGCCTGCAACTTTACAAGGCGCAGGTTCGGCCGCTCATGGAATACTGTTCCCATCTCTGTGCTGGGGCTCCCCAGTACCAGCTCCTTCCACTTGACCGCATCCAGCGCAGAGCGGCTCGAATCGTCGACGACCGAGTGCTTTCCGATCGGCTTGATTCACTGGCGCTGCGAAGAGATGTTGCATCTCTTTGCGTATTTTATCGCATCTATCACGGGGAGTGCTCTGAGGAATTGTTCGGATTAATCCCAGCCGCCAAATTTCGTGAACGCACTACACGGCAAACGTCCCGATACCATCCACACCATCTGGATGCTTGGCGGTCCACCACTGTACGTTTCAAAAGGAGTTTTCTTCCGCGTACAACCTCTCTGTGGAATAATTTACCACCGGTGATTTTTCCGGACCGATACGACCTGGGGACCTTCAAGAAAAGAGCTTACTCCTTTCTAAAGGGCCGGCAACGCACCTGCAATTCCCCTGGTGTTGCGGTTGATCATGGGCGGCGGTAGTCACTTAACATCAGGTGAGCCACATGCTCGTTTGCCCCCTCTTCTGTAAAAAAAAAAAAATATACATAGCGACATATCATTGAAACGACGTCAAGTAAAAAAAGTTCACTGGTTATTATTTGATATTTTGCTTTGTTTGAAAATTCAAATTTAAATTAGTGATAAAAAACTACACATTATAATGAAATATAGATAAATTCATAATTCTTCGGAATTACGTAAAAGGTTATTTTAAATCGTCTGAGTACGCTGGTGCAAAGTTATTGCAGAATGATTAATGTGAAACGTCAAAAGGTATTTCTTAGATTTGGTTGAATATAAGACTAAATTAATATAATACAAAATGTAAAAATTGGATGTCAAAAATAGAAGGGTTTTGTTACATACTCAGAGTAATTATAAGCATAGAGTGAATCCTAAAATAGGAACAAAATTCTTATAGCTGTAGTCTTTATACATATGACGTTTAACACAGTACAAAATAAGATAGCTATACTCTTCTCACCTTCTTTATTTTACAAGGTGGTTGCCGTTTTTCCATTCCATAGACACCTCTATTGATGTACCATTAGGGAAGCGAAAAACGTTGTCGATAAATTCATTTAGTCGATGACTTAGTAAACTTAAGGATTTTTATTAATCTATTTCGTAATATTCATTATTTATATCAACAAAAGTTTATGTAGCTTCATCTAACATCTTACAACAAACGCAGTTAAATAATGCAGAATTTGGTACTATCAGTGTATAATTTGAAATATATCGTGAAAAGTTCACTAAGAAAACAACTTCAATTCAAATTTCTGCCATATTATCCTTAGACTTACTATGGATTTCACAAGGAATAATAACTGTGTATGTACTCGTATATTTAATCGATACTTAGATGGACGTACAGATGGCACTACTAGTTACGTTACGACTACGAGTCTAGTTTTTTTTTAAATAGAATGAATGAGCCAAACGAGCACAAAGTCCACCCCATGGTAAGCAGATGCTGTGACCCACAGATATCTACAATTATACTAGATTAGAAATAAAATGCAGATACGTTGTCTAGTACTAAGATACCGAATACCTCGTTTCCAATAAAAAAAGGTCACCGGTTCTCTCCACTCCACACAACAGCCTTAAGCTGCTATTTCACGCTGGTATTCTGTGAGAGCGTGGGTGGTCCTTCGCCGATCGAGCCAACCCATACGTGCAACAACTATTACAGCTTCAGTGTGGCTTCCTCACGCAAACTAGTATTATAGCGATATACATAGAATATTATAATACATACATCATACATACATACATCAATAAATCGATTACGAATGTATTACTCATTATCGATGTCGATTGTAGCTAACATTACGAACGATATCAAATTACTATAGATTATAGACGTAATGTCTTGAAGTAACGTCACACATAATACTATAGGCATATTTTTCTAGTAAATCAGCACATACGAGTGTACTTACTCTCGTATAAAGAGACCAAAGATGAGCACTTGACATTTCTATTTTCACGCTTGAATTATACGCAACATCTTTTTTTTGTGTCTATTTTTGCCTTATTCAAAAATTTTATTAAGAAAAACCGAGACATGTATATTTACTCAATTTATGTTGAATTGTGGGTTCTCTCTATGCATACGTACGTATTTAATTACTCTAAGGTTACATAGTTGCCCAAAGCTATCAGTAAATAAATCAATCTCGTAATCATGTGCGAGCATATCTGCAATAAGCCGTAAAAAATCAAAATGCAGATCCGTTGCCAGTCCTGAGGACTGAGATGAAATGCCTTGTTTACACTCACCATACAAAACACATCAGCATGAAGCTGTTATTTTACGCTGGTATTCTGTAAGAGCGTGGTCCTAACCCGATTGAGCCGACCCATTCGTGCTGCAACCACAATACAGCCGCAGCATGGCTCCACCACGTAAAACGTGTGTGGTTTGTTATCAGTTTTCTGAATTGTCTCACACTATTGAAGCAAATTCTTGGACGAACATTTATTAGGATCCAAATATGAATACAAAAAGTTCCTGTCTTTAATTTTAGGTATTAGACACAGACTATATTAGTGCTAGATCATCATCGGTATCTTAGAAAACAGTGACTAAAAGAGTACGAATTACCTACGTACTTACTCTTTTTTACGTGGTAAAACCATGCTACAGATATACGAACAGATCGTCTCGACCGGGGAGGGACCACACTCTCACAGAATACCAGCGTGAAGTGGCAGTTCGCTGCTGCTGTATTTCGTATGGTGAGTGTAAAGATATGGAGACCATTTTTATTTTTGATCTGGGCAGATGAATGATGAAGGGTAGTACCCTTTTATGTATTTCTGCCACCAAAAAGTCATACTTGCATTGCTATATTCCGGTCTAAGTTTATAGAGAGCCAGCATAAGCACAGACTGTGAGGTATTCCATCTCAGTCTTATCTAGTTCTCAGAGATGACAACGCATATGTAACCTTCTTTGTTTGAAGTTGGCTGCAGATGTATATGAGGGACTAATGCAGCCACGTACCATCAGATAAGCTGCCAGTTTGTATGTTATTTTAGTTTTATAAAAAATATATTTATAATTTGTGTTGGAATAAAAAAAAAGTTTCAAACCTTGTCCGCAGAGACGACGGGGGCGTAAGCGGCGAGCGGGAAGTGTATTCTCGGGTAAGGGACCAGATTGGTCTGGAACTCTGTCAAGTCCACATTTAGCGCGCCGTCAAACCTCAGGGAAGCCGTTATAGAAGATACAACCTACAAAACAACACATGTCAACAACGAATGAACGAAAAAAACTTACATATACACCCTGTATATACTCTATATATAAGCATACTCGAAAGCTCGTTCTCACATTCGGTAATACTCGATAGTTTTACTCCAAAAAGTGTAAAAGTCAACGTGTGGACCGCAAAACTCACACCTCGAAAGCTTGCATTGAGCTGGCGCGATGGAATTAAACAAAAGTAATTAATTCCTTCGCACCTACTCGAAGCGAGCAGTCGAGTTAAACTCGGGCGTGTATATTCGTGTTCGAACGAGTCGAGCGAATTTATTCCGAAATAGTTAAGAGTTCCAAAAGGGTTATCGAGGAATTTATTATACTTATATAGACATTGCGATTGTTTATGGAACGTCAAGTCAAAAGATTACTCTGAATTACATATACTTGCTAAATGCAGCCACAGTCTCCTTTGTTGAACAGACATTTTTTAGCTCGAACGCTTCGGTGAATACTGAACGTCGCGCGTTTCACGTTTTTACTAGACGTGTTTGCTCGATCGAGTAAATCCGTGATTACGGAGCCATAAGGGTATGTTCTAAGAAAAAACCGAATTACTAAAAATATCTTTATATGTTTTATTTAATATAATATGATGATTAACTAATAAACTATTGGTTTTCGAGATTGAACAAGAGTGCTTTCAGTTTTGAGGGTACTTCGGACCTTTTTTTATTTCTCTCTCTTATTTGTAAATAATCTTGAAACTAGATTTGCACACCCCGATGTTATATTTTTGCACAAAATTTTTAATAATTATAATGCCTCTCCATACTTCGTAGGTAAATCCACATTAACGCCCACTAGAATTAATCTGCAGTCCCTAGATCTAGAAAATAAATGTATACCAGCTCTATGTAATGTTGGGCCCCTGGAATCATGTAGACCTTTATTTAAAAATAATAATTTGCTAACGCTGACTGGACTGTATATATTAGAGGTGTGTATATTTATCAAAAAAATAAATCAGTGTTTATTTCATAGCGCTCGCGACAATTCTATTATAGGTAAAAGGGACCCAACTAGATTGTTAATGCCTGCCTGCAGGACAGCTTTGTTTTATAAAAATTGTTACATAATGTGTATAAAAGTTTTTAATAAGATACATAAAGTGATTATTTAATTAGTAAATTAGATATAAATATTGAAATTTTTTTTTTTTCATTGTACAACCATATTCTTGCAAATAAAGATTATTATTTTGGGGTATCTATATAGTTTTCTCATCTGGTTGGGTTCTGATAAATATATAATTATAAATGAAAATGAAAATATAAATATACATAAATATTTCAATATACATAAAATAAATATAAAAATACATAAATAAATAAAAGCCCAACCAGATGGAGGCCCTCGGCAGGGGAGACCAAACGGCCGAGGGTTAGGGGGAAAGGAAAGAAACGGCGGGGGCGGTATCGAGGAGCACCGCCTTCTGCATTTGAGCCCGGAGCGGTCCGCCACGGAGTCCCAGTCGCCTCAGATGACCCGAGAGGCTGACTGGGATTAGCCCGTTTGCAGAGACGACTACAGGAATAATTTCGGTCGGCAGACCACCCCACGTGTCGGTCACCTCGTGAGCCAGGTCCAGATATTTTGATCGCTTGTCTGTTTCGGCTTTCACGAGGTTCTCGTCATACGGAATGGTAATGTCGACCAAAAATATCCTTGACTGTGCCCGGTCAATCAGCACAATATCAGGATTATTCGCAACAATAGTCCTGTCTGTGATGATGGCCCGGTGTCCCAGTAGAGCCTGGCGCGGTCATTTTTGAGCACGGCTTCCGGCAAGTACTTGTAATACGGCAATTTTCGGTCCACGAGACCGTATTTCAGAGCGAGCTCCTGGTGTAGAATTCTGGCTACTAGGTTGTGCCTGTGCAAGTACTCAGAGTTAGAAAGCGCCGAACAACCGGAGATAACATGCCTAAGTGACTCCCCGGGATGGCGACAAGCTCGACAAACGTCGACAGTGCTATCCTTTAGGATGTATCTCCGATAGTTGTTGGTCTTAATAACCTGACCCTGTATTGCACAGACAAAACCCTCGGTTTCCCCGAAGAGGTCACTTAAACGTAGCCAGTTGAGGGAGGCGACTGTATCTACGAAGGGCTCATGTAGAGCCCTGTAGTACCTCCTGTGGAGCTCCTTCTCCTTCCATACGGGCTCCCGGTCGGAAATGCTAAGCACTGCTGGGTCCTGCCATTGCTCGTTGGCTAAGGATAGAGGGGTAAGCCCTTTATCACTAGAAATGACGTCATTATAGAATGGATCATCCGATCTCGCCAGGAAGTAATCACGGAGGCTGCACACTTCGCGATTATGCATGGTGAGCGCGCTCAGAAAACCACGCCCATCATACTTTGGCGGCAAGTACAGCATCATTACCGACGATCTCGGATGATACATCCTATGGGACGTCATGGTAGAGCGGACTTTTCTATCCAGGGCGTTAAGTTCAGTCTGGGTCCACCTGAGTATGCCAAAGGTATACATGAGGACAGGCATGACCCAACCGTTATATGCGTGTGTCTTATTCACACCGGACAAAAGGCTGTTAAGCATTTTGGTCAAGCGTGCATAAAACACGTCGCAAACTGACTGTTTCATACCAGCCTCATCGATACCGATGTTCTGTGATATACCCAGGTATCGGTATGTTTCAGCCTCGGAAAGGATCCTTAAGTTGACGGGCATAGATAAGTCTATGCCCTCAGAGTTAGCAACCCTTCCCCTTTCAACATGGAGGACCGCACACTTATCCGTTCCCAGCTCCATTCCCATAGAATTGCTAAATTCACAAGTGATGTTTAGCAATTCCATAAGATGGGAGCGACTGGAGGCGAATAACTTGAGGTCATCCATATAGAAAAGGTGGGTCACTTTTATACCTCCTTTTCGAAGCTGAAATCCCCTCCCGGAGCCCTCTAGTAAAGTACTGACAGGGTTCAGAGAGAGACAAAACCAGATTGAACTCAGACAATCGCCCTGGAAGATACCCCTTGTTATCCTAATGTGGTTCTCCGCAGTCATCATCCGCTCGCCCAGATAGCAAAGGATCGTACTCCACTGCCCCATACACTGCTCGAGGAAGTCTCCAACTGTACAGTCAATTTTGTACAGCTGGAGGACTCTCTTTAGCCACGTATGGGGCACCGAGTCGAATGCCTTTCTGTAGTCTATCCAGGCGGCGGAGAAATTCCGACGGTTGCGTTTCACCACTTTGCCAATGACCGCGTCAATGAGGAGTGGTTCCTTGGTTCCACGATTATTTCACGTTCCACGGTTATTATTATTATTATTATTATTAAATCATTATATTTCAATGTCAGACTGTTTTAACATTATTTATAAAATATTTCAAGTAAAAAATTGTATTTCAAAGTTTCTACCCAATGATCAAGTAAGTTAATAAAAACTTAACTAGTTTTTGTAACACTAATTAAAAATAATAATTATGAATTATTACAGCTGTATGTTTTCCTTAAATAATTAAAAAGTTCCCACTGCTCTTCTGCAAGAGCCATGGTAGCTCAGAGGCTAAGCGCTCGATGTTTTTTTATTTTATTTTATTTTGCAATAATTTCACAGTACGCGAGCAACCCTGGTTCGATTCCTGCCGGCACCAATGAAATTGTTAATTGCAATATTAAGTGCAGATTTACCACGTGCTCGGCGGTGAAGCACAACACTGTGAGAAAACCTGCATATCTGGGAAATAAAAAATATTTCGGAGCAAGTGAAGTTCGCGAACACGCATTGAAACTTTCAGAAATGAGAGGAGGCATGTGTTCCAGTTTAAAGTTCCTACTAGTTCTACAGATTTTAATTGAACTAGATTCCCTCACGCTAATAGTCCGATGGTTCGGTAATTTGACACGATCGAAGTGATCAGGCGCGGTACCAACGGCTTTACGTGCTTGCTCTAAGGTAGGTATTTTTATAGAATAAAAGAGATGAATGATCACACAGTCCACTTGACGGTATAAGTGTATACCATATCTCATAGATATCTTATTTATTATTTATTTATTGTATAGTGCATTTTACAGTAGATGAAGTATAATTCTGCTTCCAGGTCCTTCAAAAGTGTCATTGTCAAGGTAAAGTATTTACAAGTGGTAGAGCCACGCTGCAGCTATTGTGGTTGTAGCATGAATGGGTCGGCTCGACCGAGGTAGGTACACGCTCTCACAGAATACCAGAGTAAAATAGCAGTTTAATGCTGCTGTGTTTCGTATGATGAGTGTAGAGAACCGGAGACCTGTTTTACTGGAATCGAGGCATTTCATCTTAGTTGCCACCCTTGAGGGCAACGCATCTGCATTTTTATTCTTAATCGAGTGTCTATGAGCCACTTCAGACAGACAGACACTTCTGATCCACTTACCATCAGGTAAACTGTGTGCTCGTTTGTCACCCTTATTCTATAAAAAAAAGTCAGCACATCGGCAGAATTGGCAAGAAACTAGTTCGTCTTCCTTCCGAAACACGTGCATTCTGGTCTCTCATCAAGCCTCTCCAAGGGAACTTCTATCCACCATCTCTCCCACCTCTGCACAGGGAGGACGACTCACTGGCCCATGCTGCATTGGACAAAATCGATCTGCTGGGCTCTTTCTTTGCGCCCAACTCGAATCTTGATGACGGGGGTAATACACCTCCGACCGTCCCGCGGTGTGAGTGCTCAATGCATGATATGCTGTTTACACAACGCTCGGTGCGCAGAGTACTCCTGTCCCTGGACGTCAACAAATCGAGTGGGCCTAATAGCGGCCCTCCTATTTTGCTGAAGACGTGTGCTCCGGAGTTGGCACCTCTTTTAACGCGTGTTTTCTCTTCTCCCTTGGCATAGTCCCGAAATCATGGAAGACAGCCTTTGTGAACCCGATCCCTAAAAAAGGTAACCACTCTGATCCGTCCAACGATAAGCCTATTGCCATTACCTCCTTGTTCTCTAAAATAATGGAATCGATTATAACTGCCAGCTCATGCGGTACCTTGAGGATCACCAGCTGATTAGTGACCGCAGGTACTGTTTCCGTCGCGGTCGCTCGGCTAGTGGTCTTCTAGGTTACCTAACTCATAAATGGGCGGAGGCAATAGAGTCCAAGGGGGAGAGCTTTGGCCGTTAGTTTGGACATAGCTAAGGCTTTCGATCGGGTTTGACACAAAGTGCTTCTTAGGAAGCTTCCGTCCTATGTGCTTTCCGAGAAAATGTGCACTTGGATCACTAGTTTCCTTACTGATCGGAACATCAAGGTCGTAGTAAACGGTGCATGCGACGATTACAAGCTCATTAACACTGGTGTTTCTCAAGGCTGCGTGCTATCACCACTCCTAATTCTTCTGCATATCAGTGACATGCTGCAATCCCGTAACATTCGTTGCCATGCAGACGACAGCATTGTAATGCTTTATAAACCGACCGTGCCAATATTTCTCGAGAAAACGTCGCCGAGTACTGGGACAAACTTGTTTCGGAAGTCGAGACTTTGTTGTACAAAATCTCGGACTGGGGGCTACTAAATTCAGTCCAATTTAATCCCCAAAATACATAAGTTTGTGCGTTTACCGCTAAAAGTCCTTTGTCGTATATCCTCAGTTTCAAGGCACTCCCCTTGTTGACTCAACCAGTATCGGAATCCTCGGCATCGACATATCGAGTGACGTACAGTTTCGTGGTCACTTGGAAGAGAAGGCCAAATTGGCCTCTAAAAAGCTTGGCGTGCTCAGTAGAGTGGGACAGTATTTCATGGCGGCTCACCGGCTGCAACTTTACAAGGCGCAAGTTCAGCCACACATGGAATACTGTTCCCATCTCTGGGCCTACTTCTTTTTAAAAGGCCCGCAACGCATCTGCAATTCCTCTGGTGTTGCAGCTGTTCATGGGCGACGGTAATCACTTAACATCAGGTGAGCCGTTTGCTCGTTTGCTTTCTCTCGTCTTAAAAAAATATACTATTTATTGTTTTTTATCTTCACATTACATATTATGCTTATATTTGGCTCGCTTGTAGTAGTAAAACGTGATTATCAGTAATCACGTTTAGGGTCCCGGGATCGGATCCTGGCTCGGACCAAAATCTGTTATTGAGTTTTTCTGTCGAGATTTTTAATAGCAACCTGAGTTTAGGAAGTTGGCAGTGTTTCACCCCCGTGCCTCGGAAAGCATGTAAAGCTGTTGGTCCTGCGTCTGATCCAGTCGCGTCGAATTACCGTCCCATGGGACCGTGAGAGTGAGGTAATAGTGGGTGCAGATGGCAGCCATGACCGAAATTCGGTCTGGAGGATATTATTATTATAATACTAACCAACGCTTAAGAGCGTGGGTAATAAGAGTTGTTTTTGTTAGTTTCATTAACAGTTTTGGTCTCTTGACTGATTTCGACTACGATGAATACTCGCGCAATGCAATTCCTTGTGGATGCAGTAGCCCGTAGACATCCACATCTATTCTCGATCAAAATTGAGATGCGTTGCCACCCCTAAGGATTAATATGCAATGCCCCGTTTTCAGTAAAAAGGGTCTCTGGTTCTCTACACATACAGCACAGCAGGGCTAAGCTGCTACTTCACGCTGGTATTCTGTGATAGCGTGTTCCTTCCCTGGTCTAGCTGACCCATTTGTGCTAAAACCATAATTAAGCTGTGTCATAGCTTCACTACGCAAAATGATCTAAAAAACTTTATATATTTACATGTGGTAGGACTCCTTCTTTGTCTTGGAGGCTGTGTGCTTAGTCTAACTTACAGCATAGCTGTACCACTTAGTTGACCCACCTGCGATATGAGCCTGTTGAGGTTGGTGTAGGTCGGCCGCTCGATGGAGAGGCGCCGCCGGCAGATGTCGTAGATGGCCTCGTTGTCCACCATGAAGGCGCAGTCCGAGTGCGCGATCGTCGCGTGAGTAGTCAACACCGCGTTGTATGGCTCCACCACCGCCGTCGAAACCCACACACACACAAACATACTCCAATTATTTAAAATACAATCATTACCACACTACGATTTCCTCTTGTATAGTGGAGATAGTTTACATTTTCTTTATAGCATTGGGTGACAAACTAGTACACAGTCCACCTGATAGTAAATGCTGTGGCCCATAGACATCCACATTTATCTTCTACTAAGGACCAAATGCAAATATGCGTTGTCACCCCTGAGGTCTAAGATGTAATGACTGACTCCAGTAAAAAGGGTCACCGGTTCTCTACACTTACAATACGAAACACAGCAGTGTTAACCTGCCATTTTACGCTGATATTCTATTAGAGCGTGGGCCTACCCCGGTTGAGCCGACCCATTCGTGCTGCAACTATAATATAGCTATAGCATAGCCATAGCACACATAATAAACATAAATTGCAAAAGGGTAAACATCCAGATATTATTTGCAGGCCTTACTTTGTGCGTGATTCGAATCCACGGCAGCATTATCATTGTTAAGCCACTGCGCTAATAAGTCGACTATAGTCTATTTTTTTAAATAAGTAAAAACATTTTACCTACTGATTTATTTATACTTATTCCTTCAATCCTTAGATACTACTGTCTAAATACACAAACAAAGTCTCATGGTGTCATAGTCACTTTGACTAAAAATTATGGAGACAACACTAGGCTTAACGGCATCTTTTTTATATAGGATAGGCACAGTCCACCTGATGGTAAGTGGTTGCTACGGCCCATAGACATCTACATCTATCCTCGAATATGAATCGAAATACAAATGCGTTGACACCCGTGAAGACTCTCCGGTTTTTTACACTCACTATACGAAACACAGCAGCGTTAAGCTGCTATTTTACGCTGGTATTCTGTGAGAGCGTGGTCCTTTCCCTGTCGAGCCGACCCATTCGTGCTACAACTATACTACTAATATGACTGCAGCATGACTGTACATGACTGTACATATAACTACTCAAACACAGTGATGTTACAAAAACTACTTACTTGTGGAGCTGGATAAATGGCGAATTCTAATTTGCTTTTCTTTCCAAACTCATCAGAGAGCGTTTCCATGAGCAGAGATGTGAGACCCGAGCCAGTGCCCCCGCCGAAAGAATGGAACACGAAGAAACCCTATAAAAAAGTAAAGTTACAGCCTATATACGTCCCACTACTGGGCACAGGCCTCCCCTCACTTCTGAGAGGGTTTTAGGGCAAGGAAGTGTCCGCCGCGCTCCCCAATGCGTGTTGGCGAACTTCACATGTCTTCGAAATATTTTATTTCTCAGACATGCAGGTTTCCTCACGATGTTTTCCTTCACCGCCGAGCACGTGGTAAATCAGCAGTTAAAACTGCAATTAACAATTTCATTGGTGCCGGCGGGGATCGAACCCGGGTTACTCGCGTTCTGTTATATTTACAACGAGCGTTAACCATCTAAGCTACCACGGCTCTAAGAAACCCTATATCAAATATAAATCAAAAATAAATTCGCTGATACCTATCTCAGTTTAAAATTAAAAGTATGAACATATTGTACCTATATTTTGTACCAAATTATATTGATATTGTTTTATATCGAAAAAAAGAAAATCTCGAATTGTTAATTCATAATAAAATGTACAATCATTGTTAATTCGTTTTTACAAATAAAGGAAGCAGTCATATTTAAAAGGAAATATTAAAATAAATGTTATATCACACATACAAGCTAGCAAGTAACTTGCACAGCGCATGTGTTGCCGTGACCTCGTTGAATACGCGATCTATCGGCGTTGCAGTTTTAGCTCAGTTGGAAGCAGACGAGTGAAGCTTACACTCGTTCCCCCGTCTGCTTCCAACACACTAAATAATTTTTCTTTGATTTATTACTTTATCATAAGTACTAATTAATATTATTTTGTGTTAGAATAAATATGTTTCTAATAAAAGTACAGGTGAAAACGACTATATTGTCCAGTGGTCACCAGATAGCAATCCTGTCGTTTAAAGACCCTACGTCTACCCTTCATTACGAAATGGAAATGTAAATGATGCGTTTTAATAGGATAGGAAAAAGATGGGATGCCTTGTTGCCAGTAAAATTCTCAGTTTTTCGTCACTCGCTGAATTGAAACGAACAGCATTATTTTACTTCTATTTTATGCTGATTGCATGCGCCCGTAAACCTTCTCTAGTCCCTTTCATAAGGGCTATACATATTTCAATCTTTAAGGATTCTTGCTGGATATCTGTAAACTATTACATATGGTTAAAATCAAAGATGATAGCGATGATAACAGTAAGAAACACATGTAGACTTAACTACGTAATATTACAGTAAATGAAAAGTACGTAAAGTTATATCCTATAACATCTCATTGCTGGGCATAGGCACGGTAATATTATCTAATAGGCTTCCTCTCATTTCTGCGAAGACTACGGAGAATTCAGTTCGTTGCAATGCCAGAATGCCTATTGGGCTCGGTAGACTACGTGGTAGAGCCACGCGGCTGTTAAATAAGTATGTTATATTTGTAGCACAAATGGGACGGCTCGATATTCCATCTTAGTCCTCAGGAGTGACAACGCATCAGCATTTCGATTCTTAATCGAATATAAATGTGGTGGTCTATGGGCCACAGCACCCACTTACCAATCAGGGTGAAGAGTGTGCTCATTTGTCGCCCTTATTCAATTTTTTTTAATTTCCACGCGATGTTTTATTCACTGAGGAGCACATAATGAATCAGCAATTAAAATTGCAAATTATTAATTTAATTGTTTCCGAAGGATGTCAAACCCGGGTTGTTCACGTTCTGTGAAATTCACGACGATCGCTTCACCCATGATCTACCACACTCATAATATACGTATAATTTTTTTTATACGATGGGGTGACAAAGAAGCACACAGTCCACCTGATGGTAAGTGATTGCTGTGGCCCATAGACATCTACATCTATCCTCGATTATGAATCAAAATGCAGATGCGTTGTCACCCGTGAGGACTAAGACGGAATGCCTCGTTTCCAGTAAAAAGGGTCGCCGGTTCTCTACACTCACCATACGAAACACAATAGCATTAAGCTACTATTTTACGTTGGTATTCTGTGAGAGCGCTGTCCTTCCCCGGTCGAGCCGCCCCATTCGTGCTACAACTATACTTCTAATATAACTGCAGCATGGCTCTACCACGTATAAGTTAAATTCAACAAAATTATATAGGGATATTAAAAAAAATCTAATACATACATACCAGAAAATCAATCATTTGTTAACAATGACTGTATTCAACCGTGAATTGGCGGTGTAAGAGTATCCACTATCCCATATCATACCGTGTGTGGCGTAAAAACTGACAGAGGGAGACAAATCAGGAGATGGGCAATAGTTTTATTAAAAAAAATTGTTCTAGATGGAATGACAACCTGGTAAGATATTCAAGAAGTGGATGCAAGTGGCTCAGGACCTATTCCTTGGATGAGGCCTATGTTCAGCAGTGCTTGTAATGCTGTAATGATGATGATTGTTTAGAAATATGTAAAGTATTTAAATATACAAATGATCGTAAACCTGCAAGCCTGTGCACTGGTCCGCCAGTTTCCTGAGCCTCTCCATAACAGGATCAAGTATATCTCGGCCTGTAGAGTAGTGACCGCGCGCGTAGTTGTTCGCCGCATCCTCCTTGCCCGTGATGAGCTGCTCAGGATGGTACAGCTGCCGATATTCACCATTTCGGATTTCATCTATTCGACAAAACATTATTTTATGGTTTTGTACAAATACCACAGTCCACATAAGTTTCATCACAGGGTTATCAACCTACTATAATATATTATATGCGATAATTTTAGGAGTCTAATATTTTTAGAATAAGGCTGACAAACGAGTATACAGTCCATTTGATGGTAAGTGGGTACTATAGCCCATAGACATTTATTCTCGATTAAGAATCCAAATGAAGATGTATTGTAACCCCTGAGAACTAAGATGGAATGCCTTATTTCCAGTAATAAGAATCTCCGGTTCTCTACGCTCAGCATACGAAGCACGGCAGGGTATTAAGCTGCTATTTTACACTGGTATTCTATGAGTTCATGATTCTTCCCGGGTTGGGCTTGATCAATTCGTACAAAAACCGTAATATTTTCACCACGATTTAGAAAACCGTTGAAAACTACAATTGTAAAAAATATACAGTAACCAAAACTATATTATATTTTAACAAAAGTTGACGTCAAAAGTATGACGTCAGGCAGTCAAGAATACTCAAAAAAATATTCCTTTAAAATATATGAATTTGAAATGAACATATTTTTAGAGATAATATATAAGATATAAACTATAACCTTCGAAATTACTAATTATTGATATAAAGTAAGCAACCCCACTCATTGGCCTCCTCTCATTTCTTTGAAGGCAATTTTGAACAAACCACACAAAAAACTTCTGTATAATAAATCAAAAGTGCCTGAAGTCAATCTAGTGCAAATTAACATACATTTAAGTTAGTGTCTTTGCAAGACATTCAAGGTCAAACACTATATAATATAATGTGTAGTATAATGTGTGACGTCACCAATTATAAAAATTACATCATTTATTTAGAATTTTATTTAGAATTTGCTTCATTCCGTATTGTCTTAAAACTCGATTATTCATTTTAAATTAAATTATTTGCTAGTATTCAAAATATACAATAAAAATTGCTATTTGACTGTGAAAACCAAAATGTGTATGTGTATATATATACTGCTGAACCTGTGTTCAGGCAATTTATAGAGGAGGTGTGCCTCATAGGGGGATAGATATTTGCCATAGTTGCCACGCTTGGCAAGCGGTTTGGCAAACGCAGTTTTTTCTTTTTAATTGTTATTAGGAAGTTGCTACTACCGATCTCTTGGTTTGTTTCCCTCTGTCGCCTCTTATGACATCCACTAGATTATAATAATAATGTCCTCCAGACCGAATACCGGCCACGGCGGCCTGCCTCAACGGAGGCTAGCCATCGGCGCAGGACAGGATTATAGTGCCCGAGTGTATGCGCAAGCACAAGTGCACTCTCTATTCCCTCACTCTCATAATCCGATGGGACGGTAAACCGACACGACCGGAGAGAGATCAGGCGCAGGAACAACAGCTTCACGTGCTTTCCGGGGCACGGGGGTGAGACACCGCCAACTTCCTGACTCTAGGCAACCACTGAGAATTTCTTGAAACTCAATAATTAATTTTTTGGCCCGACCTGGGATTGGAACCCAGGACCTCATGATCAGCAGTCGCACTACTACAACCACTAGACCAACGAGGCAGTCCACCACTAGATTATATGACCAGATTACTAGATTATATGGGGCAGTGGGTTTTCTTACACCTTTACTACACGGGTTTTCTCTTGCAGTATCATAATTTCTATTGAAATATTCAATTAAACCGCTGGCTAATTTCAGTAATTTATACCGTCAGCGAGACATTCCGTCTAAACCTCAGGGCTGAAAATCTAATATCTGCATTTTACTTCTAAACCTCAGGACTGAAAATCTAATATCTGCATTTTACTTTTAAACCTCAGGGCTGAAAATCTAATATCTGCATTTTACTTCCAAACCTCAGGGCTGAAAATTTAATATCTGCATTTTACTTCTAAACCTCAGGGCTGAAAATTTAATATCTGCATTTTACTTCTAAACCTCAGGGCTGAAAATCTAATATCTGCATTGTACTTCTAAACCTCAGGGCTGAAAATCTAATATCTGCATTTTACTTCTAAACCTCAGGGCTGAAAATCTAATATCTGCATTTTACTTCTAAATCGAGAATAAATGTAATTGTCTATGGGCCACAGAATCCGCTTACTAATAGGTGGACTATGTGCTCGTTTATAATATTAAATATAATTTAATACAAAAAAAGTAATATATAAATGTGAGTATATGATATGTTTGGATGTATATCGTTCAATCACGCTAAAAAGGCTGATTATATTTTTATCAATACTAGTATCGCATCTGGTCGAACTTCAGATTTGAATGAAAAAATAATGTATATTAGATGTAGATATCTATATATATTTATCTAATTATCCTAGATAGATATTTATACCTATCCTCGATTAAAAATCTAAATGCAGATGCTCACCCCCGAAGACTTAAATGAAATGTCCAGTAGTAAAAAGGTTCTGCGGTTCTCTACACTCACCATACGAAACACGACAGCATTAAGATGCAATTTGACGCCGGTATTCTGTAAGAGCGTGATCCTTCCCCGGACTACTAATATTGCTAAATCCTGGCTTTTCCGCGATCTTTTTTAATTTATGTAATTTTCAATTCCGAGCTTATATTCATTCCAGCATGGAAGTTCATCACTGAATATAAGCTTTACCCATAGATTGTCTCGCAGTGAGGAATTTTGTCCAAGTGGTCACACTTGGCAGGTGGGTTCGAAACCGCAGTTTTTTTTTAATTTATTTTGGTTAATAAAGAGCCAAAAAGTTAAAATTGTAATTAAAAAACCCAACTGCGTAAAAGTTCTACTAAAAATAAAAACAGTAAGTACTACAGTAATATATAGCCTATATTACTCCCACAATTAAGATCAATCTAAAAATACCCTCAGTGGGTGTTAAAATCTATCAAGCCTTCCAATCACAGAGTGTGCCAAAGAAATTGACATGTGTGTATGTATACTATGTTATATACTCTCGGTAGACATTTTCCTCCTTCTGTGGGATGCGGGTAAAAAATGATCTTTTCTTCGATATCGAAATCGATATCCTTACATCGCCACTACACGGGGTAGTATTATTATATATTTGTGCTTAAATAAAAAAATATTACATTATTAAGCATTAAATAATACGCTTAATCAAAAATGAACATAAATGTATCTACTGACATTTTAACATTTGATATTTTAGTTACATGACTCCCGAGGTTCAATAATTCCTTTATGGGGCAACGTATACACTATTACAACAGTCTTAGGAAACATAGAGGACTTATCCATGAAAAAGTTAAAATTTGTTAATAAGCTAATATTGTTTTGTAAAGGTACTACTACTAAATAGTACATGAGTGATAATTGTCACCCACGGGAATGAGGTGATCGCTGCCTTGATGTTTGTAAATTTTTTCTTAATTGGATAAAATATTATATTTTACTTAAAGTCCCTCTGTGTTTCTTGCTATTTCTTCCCAGCACAGAGGTCTGACCGAACCAATAGTAAAACTTAAATGACTGTCTGACTGACTTTCAGTACTTTTGTAATGTACCTGGCGGTCATTCTAACTCACCAATCACAGTGGGCTCCAAATCGACCATGACTACCCGTGGCACCATCTTCCCCCGGTCCGCCTCAGAGAAAAATGTGTTGAAACAGGAGTCCGTTGCACCGCCGTCAGTTTCAAAGGACGGTAGCGTACCGTCAGGCCGTATTCCGTGCTCCAGGCAGTAAAGCTGCCAGCAGGCCACCCCCATCTGCACTCCTGCCTGTCCGATGTGCACTGAGATGCACTCCCTCTGTCGATGTATTTTATTCATTTAACATTTTTAGAAACCATTACTGTGAAACAAGTTCCAAGATTGTCATAATACCAAATATTACAATCGTGGGAAGAACCTGGGTTCTTATATATTATCTAATATCTGAATATTGTAATTTAACTCTCTCTAGAAGCTCTTCAATCTAGCAGGTTTATTAATTCATCACACTTCGGCTACACGTATCCAGATCCACCAGCCACCTTGCGCAGACCGTCCCTCTATCTAGTCAGGCTTATTAATTATTTAATCATACTACTTATCAAGTAGAAGCTCGTACTTATTCTACAAAACGCAAGCAAGCTTTTTGTTTACACCTGCTGAAGCTACGCTATGGCTATAGAATGAATCGTCTCGACCGGGAAGGACCACGTTCTCACAAAATACCAGCGTAAAATAGCAGCTTAATACTGCTGTGTTTCGTATGGTGAGTGTAGAGAACCGGAGACCCTATTTACTGGAAACGATGCATTAATTCTTATGCCTCAGGGGTGACAATGCATGTGTATTTTGCTCCTCAATCAGCAGTAGATATATGTCTATGGGCTAAAGCATTCACTTATCAGGTGGACCGTGTGCTGCTTGGTCACCTTTATTCATTCCTTTTTGCAAGTATTCAAATAGCATATTCCGAAGGGTTAAAATATCTCGTCTTCATTTTGTTAAAACACTTATAGAGAAGAACAACCATCACAAAGTATATAAATTGAAGAACTTGTTTTGCGTCGTTTTACAGGGTCTAAAGTATTTGCAAAATACAGTCTACAATTTCCATAATATGATATAAAAATGTCATCCTATATTTATGATATAATAATGATTTAGAAATAACTTGGTAGATCCTAATAGAGGACCCGACGAAAAGATTTTGCGATCACGTCACATCGATTATCAAAAGGAGCAAAACATTACATTTATAGTAAATAACTTACCATGATTACTTGAAATTTTGCTCAATCCGTCTTAAAAAGATGTCTAAAAAACTTGTAAATCAACTAAATATTACAAAAATTTTGGCACGGACTGAAATTTTGAAAAAAAATTGCGCATCTGCGCCTGTCGGATGGGCCGCTTGGATCTATTATTCCAAACAGTTCCTAATTTAAATTTCATTATGAGTTAAAACCGTGAAAATGTACCAGCCAGTTTTTGTGACAGCAAAAAGTTTTTATCAATCAAAAAAGTCGGCCTCATACAAATCGATGACAATTAGAGAAATGTTTAAAGTTACTCTCTCTTTTCACAAAATAGGAGGAGACAGACATAGATATAAGTGGTACTAAATATAAGCGATAATTAATGATTTTAAGTAAGGTGGAGTTTTTAATCCCAAGGTAAGTATAAAACAAAAAATGGAAATATAAAGATGCTTAGATGTCAAACAGATTTAAATATACTACTTAAATGTCTTTGTTAGAGGTCTTAATTGTTTTCATTATCATTCATCATTTTTATTTAATGCCTATCTCTTCTTATCTTATCACATACACATTAAGGCTTACACCCGCCATTACGCAGTAGTTTTCGTAAGCAAAAAAAAATAATATGGCGTCTTGTGTCGTTAAATTTTGCAAAAACCTCAAGGAATTACCTTTCATAATTAAGTCAGTAATTAAAATCAATCAAAATTTTATGTCTTAAATTTAAATATTATCTTTGGAACACAAAACATAAGTTACGTGATCAGTGTTGTTAATTATTTATAGGAAAAAATTACCCGAAATTTGGAAAATTGCTATTTTATCCACGTCGGCACAGATACGGTATTTATATATGTTTGCCCAACAACTACTTAAGGTAACTTTTTTTTTATAGGGTAGGGTGACTAACGAGCACACAATCCACATGATGGTAAGTTGTTGCTCTGGCCAATAGACATCTACATCTATAATCCATTATGAATCAAAATGCAGATGCGTTGTCACCTGTAAGGCCTAAGATGGAATGCCTCGTTTCCAGAAAAAGGGTTTCCGGTTTTCTACACTCACCATACGAAAAACAGCAGTATTAAGCTACTATTTTCCGCTAGTATCCTGTGAGAGGGTAATCCTTCCCCGGTTGGGGCAACCCATTCGTGCTACAACTATACTACTAATAAAACTGGAGCATGCTATTAATATTATACTACCACGTATTAATATTGTACAATAGTTTTATGTGCATTTTTTTTTGTAAAATGTTCCTAAAAAAATCACCCCATCAATTACATGTTGCGCTGCAACAGTAATTTTTATTTTTTACTATGTTACCATTTCCTGAAAATTGGACCGACTATAACGCGGTTAAGAAGGTTCTTAAATGCGTTTTACGGCCATAGGCCACCACAGAGTGCTGCAACCGTGATAAAAAAAATTTTATGCCATGTTTAACTTAGTATGTAAATCTCTATATTTTTAAGTTTTCCTAAAACTATGAAAGTATGGAGAAAAAAATTAATTAATATAATAGAGAGAGAACAAACGAAAACGATTGGCGAGTGTAATTTGCAGCGTCGATTTTGATACTAACGATTTACAACACAACCAAAGAAGGAAACGAAAGATGAAACTTCGTAACTTATGGTAATTCATCATCATCATCATCATTACAGCCCTTCACAAGTCCACTTCTGAACATAGCCCCCCCCCAAGTAATGCCACAAAGCCCGGTCCTGAGCCACCTGCATCCATCGACTTCCTGCATGTCTTATCAGGTCTTCACTCCATCTAGTGGGGGATCGCCCTACTCTACGCCTACCGGTACGAGGCTGCCACTCGAGAACCTTTCTTCCCCATCGGTTATCGGTTCTTCGAGCTATATGGCCGGCCCATTGCCACTTCAGCTTACTAATCCGTTGGGCTATGTCGGTCACTCTGGTTTTACTGCGGATATCCTCATTTCTGAGTCTATCACGCAAAGAAACTCCGAGCATAGCCCTCTCCATAGCTCGCTGAGCGACCTTGAGCGTCCTCACACGGCCAGCAGTGAAGGACCACGTCTCTGATCCGTAAGTCATAATGGTAATTATTTATGACTTATTGTCATAAACGATAACTATAATATACACTTGCAGCTTTGGAAGGTATTTCTCTAACGGTTCAAATTTTAAGATGATATTTAAAAAAACTCAGCTAAATTTGTCGTGGTCTCAGGGCGCGTTTGACCTCGTATATTTATGAAAATTTAATATATGAACACAAACACGAAAAATAGTTTTATTTAAAATAGTGATGTACATTCTATAAATACTATAAACAAGCACAAGTTAGTTATACCACTTACTCGATTCAAAAGCGTCAGTAATTCCTTCATGAGAAAATGTATACGCTTTCACAAATTCCCAAAAAAATATCCAGACCTTATCTATTAAATTTTAAAATGTTTACCAAGCAAAAATTGTTTGGTAAGGATTATTAGGGTATAGCACTAAAGAGTACGTTATTGGTGATAACTCCTGAGAATGAGGTGATCGCTACCATACTGTTTTTAAATGTTTTCATGTTAATTCTAAAATAATGTATTTTAAATTAATTTTATTTATTAAGTTCCGCTGGCTTTCTTGATGTTTCTTCCCAGGACAGTGTTTTTTTTTCGAACCGGTGGTAAAGCTTAAACGACTTTCAATAAGTATTATTGTAATCTGTATTGAATTAAAATGTTTCTATTCTATTCCAATCAGTTCATCATTTTTGGATTCCCTACTAATGGTAAAAAGAATCTAGCGCATCATTAGTAATTAATTGTCACCATCACGTCTTATATTTTATTAACGTTAATTTTATGTTTTGTAAACTATTTTGCGGTCCCTAACAAAGATTTGTATATGTTTTTGGTTAACTATTTATAATATCTTTCGTTTCAATTATATACTACAATTTTTGAATATATACTATAATTTTACGAATATGTGATAAAATTAATTTAAATCAATACGTTCCCAAGCGATCGAAATAGAATTATTCGATTTCAATCAAAACCTAAATCTTAAATCCTTACAATTTTTTAATCGTCAAATGTGTTATTTATATTACTCACTTGATAATAAATTAGTATTTCGTCAAGTTTATATTATATTTTGACAGATTTTCTTATATAAAAAATGGGGCAACTTTGTTTCACATGACAACCCTTTATAGCACGCAAACATACTTACACTGCCGCCATTGCAGTGCAGCAGTCCTTTCTTAACAAAATTCGGTCCGCCTTTTTTTATACGTCCATAGTACGTCCAACCTGAAAGATGTCTTTGACAGACACCACAGAGTATTTTATAGATTTATAATACTAGAAACTTGTAATAAAGTACGTGAGGGTAATATGGTCATCCGGTTAATATGGTCACTTTCTTATTACTCAAAAACTACACCTTGTTTAGCATAGATGGCTTTGTGATACGGTAGCTTTTCATCAATCAAATATGAAAGTGTCAAAAGGGCGATGCTTTATCGACGGCATTATGACAGTTGACATTTTAGTAAATATTTTAGTAAATTTTATTACATATATATTTTTAATCAAATTTAAAAAAAAAAATCAAATTTGCACACCTTGTGCAGTTTGGTCCAACTTGAGAGATAGGGTAGTTTTTTACCCATGAGTGAGCCACAATTTTTTGCTAATTTAAGGATTTTTAATAGGACATGACAAAGGGTCATCGAAAAAGGGCAAAACAACGTCTGCCTGGCAAGCTAGTATATAATATATAATCGGAGTCAAGGAAACGGCTCCAACGATTTTCATAAAATTTTGTGTCCAGGGAGTTTCGTGGGCGATAAATCGATCTAGAAAATCTTTTTTAGAAAATATCTTTTTTTCCGTGTTTTCAGGCAATGAAAAACTGCTACAATATATGTGTTTATCGATCGTAATAGCTCGTGGATATCGAGCGGTCGCAAAATCGTAATGCCTTGGTTCGCGTCCTGTCTTCGGTCCGACTTTTTTCCATTTTTTTTTTCAAGTTCCCTTCTTTTGTGATAAAATATATTATTTCGAGCCCTTTTTTTAGAATTTTTTAAAAATTCGAAATTTTACTTGCACTCATGATTTTTTATTCAAATAACCAGTTCAGTTTTTTCTATTATGTCAATAAGATCAAAAAATATTATTCATCAGTATGTAATTTTTATCTAAATGTAATTCAAAAAAAACCGACCAAAGCTCGGTCATCCGAGTACTATGTACTTAAGTACATAATAGCTCAATGTTTTAGTATGGTGTGGTGTAGTTAGTTTTTTGAGTAGATTTTTCGTAGTGTTCCTAATTATTTCCCGAGCATGCTTGCTACTCGACTTCGTATTTTTGTCTCTGTCTTTCTCCTAGTTTTGGTTTTATAGGCCGGCAAAGCTTAAGGTGACTATATTACCATCACGTACCTTATTATTACTAGCGATATACACAGCGGGCACTGGTCGAGGCGCGAATTATCATCCCAGTTATTTATCTTAAACTTATTAATTAATCGGCGTTGCAATAAAAAATAACAATTTATGTTTTTCTTAATGTTGTTTTTTATACTGGTAGAGCCATGCTGCAGTTATATTAGTAGTTTAGTTGTAGCACGAATGGGTCGGAGGACCACGCTCTCACAGAATACCAGCGTAAAATAGTAGCTTAATGCTGCTGTGTTTCGTATGGTGAGTGTAGGGAACCGGAGACCCATTTTACTGGAAACGAGACATTCCAACTTAGTCCTCACTGGTGACAACGCATCTGCATTTTAATTTGTAGTCGAGGATAGATGTAGTAATAATACGGGCCGCAGCAACCACTTACCATCAGGTGGACTGTAAGCTCGTTTATCACCCCATCCTGTAAAAAATGTCTTAATGTCTGAGCTTCACAAGTCCAGGTAGGGTACATTGGAAGATTCTGAACTGCGGCGCGATGCCGTAACTGTTTTGATAAGCTGACTTCATCCGAAATAGAGTGCAAGAGGGTACTCTTCGCGTTTATTTTT